CCCTCCCTCTCTCCCTCCTTCCTTCCTTCCTTCCTTCCTTCCTTCCTTCCATCCTTCCTTCCTTCCTTCCTTCCTTCCTTCCTTTCCAATTCTGGCTATAATGATTTAAAATAGTGTCTGAAAAATGCAGTTCTGGTAACATGTTGAAAAATAACAAAGTATGAAAAGAGGTAATAAAATACACATTTTTCAGTACCTCATATTTCTCCCTGACACAGTCCAGGTTATTTTTAGTATGTATGATTTGTATACCACTATAACATAGAGCATGTGTGTAAATTAGAACAATAAATGAATTCAGCACCCTCCTAACCCCCTGCAGATACCTACCTTTTTCATTACCAGTACATATGTTATAAATATAGACCCTGAACTATTTACATGACTTTTCCCCAACACACTGATATTGTGACATTTCACATATTTATTTTACAAGCAAATATGTGCTGAAAGTTTATTATAAGTTTCATTAATGTTTTACTCTTCCACAATCTTTGTGAAGAATTTGTTACCAGGCATTATAGTAAATGCTGAAATACAGCATGGAAAAATGGAGTAATAACTTTTTGATAAAATAAAAGATAAAAATACTAAACAATAATCACAAGATTAATCATCGATACAGATACCTGTGTGGGAGAGGAAACCCATAATGTATTACAGTGTCTTTTGGAAAAATTCTGCCATCTCTCAGTACTTGGAGACATGTATTGGCCATTATCTAGAAAGGGAGGCCTTTCTGGACCTTCCATAGAAGGATTCAGCAGCAACATTCCTCCTCAGGTCACCATGTGCCGTGTGTTGTTGTTACCAAATAATAAGATAGAAAGATGCATGGAACACTGATATAGACAGGAGAAAAGAGGGAGCTAAAATGTACCTAATGAATGCCACACATTTTAAGATCTTCAGGAAAGGCCCATCTCTTGGTTTTACAGCCCTTTTGGGCACATCTGGTAAATTCATGACATGGCTGCTTCCAGGCTGTAGCTAAAGGTAACCGGAAACATCCACTGAACCCAACTTAGATTATTGTATGTACTGTGCAAATTATTTTAATTGTCTACCAAAATGTCTTCGGAATATATGTATCATCTTGATAACCAATGCATTGTCCCTTTTTGCTTCTTTTGAATACTCTCTGAAGAAGGCCACAGATTAAGGCAGGAGGCTCAAATGTGTTGATTAGTTTTTAGAGTATAATAAATCCATTTTTGAGCTGTTTGGCCATGTTCCAAAGATTTTTCTTTCTAACGTTTTGCCAGTCTCTGTGGCTGGCATCTTCAGAGGACAGGAGTTAGGTTTTACAATGGGCCTGAATGGGACTGAGTCTTTGTGGCCCTTCATCATCATCATCATCAACCTATCTGAACGCCAACTCTCCCTGGAAGAAACTTTGGTCTTAGGAGGAAACTTCACAGTCACACCCAGTAAAATTCCAGTGGAAGACAACATTGTCAAAGACTAAATCCCACTCAGGCCCATTGTAAGTGCCATTGGCTCCCCAACATATGAATCAGCAAAATACCTAGCCACCCTCCTACAGACCCACGTTGGATAAACCTCATCCTATTTCAAAGACTCAGGACATTTCATAAATAAGATCAGCACCCTAAAATTCAACCCCAGGGACAGACTGATCAGCTTTGATGTAGTATCCCTATTCACCAAAGTGCTAATGTAGTATCCCTATTCAGCAAGGTACTAATAAAACAGGACACCTTGACACTAGTCCAGCAGAACTTTCCAGAAGACATCAAGGCCCTTTTCCAACACTGCCTAACAACTAGCTACTTTCAGTGGGATAATGATTTTTATGAACAGACAGATGGAGTGGCCACGGGGAGCCCACTCAGCTCTGTTATAGTGAGCTTCTAGATGGAGCATTTCAAAAAACAGGCCCTGGCTTTGGCACCCTTCACACCCACAGTCTGGTTCTGATACATGGATGACACCTTTGCAATTTGGAACCATGGTGAAGAAAAACGAAGAATTTCTAAACCATCTCAATACCATCTCAGTATCATCCACCCAAATATACAATTCACCATGGAAAAAGAAATAGAGGGCTAACTCCCTTTCTTAGATGTTGTAGCGATCAGCTACACCCTCACCTGTCCATCACAGCTGAACAGTGAAGAAGGAGCCTATGAGTGGATGGAAGGCGGAGCTAAGGGGGAGGGGGCTGGATATAAAGGCTGGTGGATGGAGTCTGAAAAAAATTTCTGGGATAGGGAGACTGTGTGGAACATAAAAGTGATCTGGTAGTGAATTAGAGATCTGTAAGAATGCTGAATGGAACAGAGTGTTAATAGAATTTTAAAGTCAAAGTAGGACTGATTCAAATACAAGTGATTAGCAACCTGTGATTTACCTATTGAATATTAATCATATGTTACTTCCCTGATCTAATATATTAAGTTTTAAAACTACACATGTCTCCTTGATTGAATGGTATTGAGGCAGCAATACCTGGTGACAGCAAAGAAACAAGAAGGGCGAGAACCTCGTGAAGGCCTGGGGGAATAGGGGCTTCAGAGGAGATCGCCACAGATGTCATGGTCATACAGAAACCTGACCTCCTATTGGGGCACAAGGTGTACAGAAAACCCACCCAAACAGACCCATACCTACACTAATATTCCAACCATCACTCACAAAAAAGAGGCATAATCAAAACATTGATGGACCGTGCGAATCGGGACTGTGAAGCCCAATTTCTCAGCACTGAACTCAACATCTGAAGTGGGCTCTACAGGCAAATGGATATTCCAAGAATGAAATCACAAGAGCCATCAAATTGAGAAAACAACACTGAACTGAAGAAGAGAAACAGCAACCCACAAATAAAGTATTTCTGCTTCACATCAAAGGGGGACTGGTGATCACTGTGCACAAAAGACTAGCTAACAACACCCATAAATTAAAGTGACAGACCATCTCCCCCCCTTATCACAACAATACACCCATAGCAAAAAACACCCTGATCACCATAATCACCCAATCTCCTGAAAAGGACAAAAAGCTGATCCCACAGCTACAAATCCTCAACTATCGTGCACACCAGAACAGAGACTGGCAAAATGTTAGGAAGAAAAACCTTTGGAACATGGCCAAACAGCCCAAAAAACCTACAACAACCATCGGATCCCAGCCATCAAAGCCTTCAAGAATACAATGCTAACACTCTTCCCCCTGCAGAGTCGGTCCTTTTAATGGAGAACATTGCAGTTTTGAGGGGTTTTTTCTTTCTGCAAAAACGTTTTACATTGTTTAAAGTTAATTATAACAATTACAGTATGTGCTGCCATCTAAATTCTGCCTTACAATGACCCTTTCCAGAATTTTCTAGTACTTAACAAGTAGTTTACCATTCCCATATTCTGGGAGTGCTACGAGACTGTGTTGCTCTTCTCTTACAAGGCAAAGTGTTGAAACTCACTGAGCTATTAGTGATCTTTTAATACTATTGTATATTTAATTGTATTTTAATATTCAATTATAAATGTATATATGGGTTTTTAAAAATGATTTCTATCAGCTCCCTTGGATTCTCTCATTGAGAGAGAGAAGGGCCATTAATAAAATGAACAAACAAAGGGATTTTTTAAAATGGCATATTGGATCAAAATAGCTTTTTTTAAAAAAATTACTAACAAGGTTATACAGTATGTGGTTCTCTGCTACATACAGTGTGATACATCTATCCCATAGCCATTTTTCAGGAAATGTAGTTTGCTGGAAGTGTACATGTCACCTTTTTTGAGATAGGACATAAAAGAAAATAATAGGTTCAGGGATTCTCACACAATTTGTAGATAAAAATGAACAGTGCCTAAAGTTATGTCATAAAATACATTTAATATGTTTCCTATCTTAATTACAGATATTGTGATTGTTTTGCCAATGGTGATTTCTGCAATAATTGTAACTGCAATAATTGTTACAATAATCCACAACATGACATAGAACGGTTTAAGGCAATTAAGGTAATACAACTATGTTCTTTTTTTTTTACTTTTTACATAAAATACACAGGCACACTTAATTAATAAATAATTTTTAATTAAACCAAAAAGAAAAAAGTTTTTAAGGCGAACAGAGAAATGTGAATAAATTGTCAGACAACCCTTATATCTCAGCTGTTCTGTCACCAATGAAGCACATTTTTTGTTGTGTCCAGAATCAACATATGCTTTTTCTGCAAAAATCTTCAATTACTCTTTCTGTACATTCATCCTTCTAGTGCAGTTGTAAAAGTATAATGAAATAGCTTCAGATTTGTGTTTGTCATGTCATGTAGCATGTATGATCGATTTCATTTTGTGCCAGTAATGAACAATCGTTTCAAAATGAACTAGGTATAATTTTAATATTAAATATGTCAAAACTCTTCATTTTATTTTTATGGTTCAGATCAAAGAATACTGATATGACTGATATTCTATATAACTAGAGCACACACTTGTGTCAGTCTCTGAAATGACCCTATTTTGGCATGTGTACAAAATAAGTGCCCTTCTTAGATGCACGTCTTAATGTGGTGAAGAGATTCGAGTGTGTCAGTAAAGCTGAGAGCAATGTCATCAGGAGGCTGGATTCCATTAAAAGCCAGGATTCCTTGCAGGGTCATCCAAAGTGGAATGGTTGCAGCTGAGACCAGATTAAGATGCTTCCTCCCGCTTCAAGGCAGCTACTGGGCAGCATCAGTAGCTGAAGGTAAAACTGGTGGAAGACGCAACTGCAGTGACACTCAAGCTAACTTTTGTTAGTACTGCATAGAAGGTGGCAATGGGAAACCCCTGCTGAAATGTCCTTACTATGAAAATCCTATAATGAAACAGTCCAAACTAATAAGAGATAATGCTGCAAAATGAGACTCCCATAGTGGAAGACACTCAATGAACTACTGGGGAAGAGCAAAGGTCTAGAATCTCTTCCACAGTGTTGACAGTCTTAATGCCAAGGTCTGCTTTTTAGTCCAGGGGACAACTAATCATGTCACTACCTACGTTGCTTGTTTTTTACAAATTGCGATTCAAATCAGAGAGGCTATCTCCCGGGTTAGCCCACGGTCGCACCTCCTTTCCTAATTTTAAACTGGTCATGGTTTTATTACTCCCCACAGTTTTTCACTTCTCTAATGCACTCTGTACTTTTAATGCCAATAAAGGTTTGTATTATATATGTATGTAGTGTTGACAGTCCTTTCCATACAGTACCATTTGTAGTGAGCCTTAAAGGTCCCTATGATCACCTGATCTAGAGGCTGAATTAGAGATGTTTTACTTGGGGGTAAATAAACCACTTTGACACCTTTGTTGTTGAACTCATAGTGTTCTGAGTGTCATTGGCATGGTATTTATTTAATGTTGATTGATTAATTGAATGAATGAATGAATGAATGAATGAATGAATGAAAAAAAATCCATGCATAACCAAACCATGCTGCTCAGACCTGTACAGTTCAAGGGAGAAATGCATACACATTGTAGTGTTTGGTGTCAGTGAAATAAAGTGGACTGGAACAGGATTTTTTCAGTCAGACAGCTACAAATTGTTATGCTATGGAACTGACAAAGCCAGAAGAAATTAAGTGGCTCTAATACTGAGGCAAGATGTAGCACAGGCAATTAGGGGCTATAATGCAAGGCCTGACCAAATAATATGAATCAGACTCTATGGAAAGCCTGTCAACATAATCACCATTCAAGTCTATGCTCAAACTACTGATGCTGAAGATGAAATTGAAAGCTTTTATGCAAACATTTAAGAGGAAATTGATCACATGCCAAAAGAAGCCCTGTGTTCTAGGTGACTAGAACACAAGAGTAGCTCCAATCACAAAACTTAACCAAACTTTATTGGAAAGTTTGACCTGGGGGACAGAAATTCAGTAGGAGAATGGCTCACAGAGTTCTGTGAAGCCAACAATCTGTTTATTGCACATACATGCTTCAAGCAACCAATCAAACTGCTATATATGTGGAAATCACCAAAAGGTCAATATAGAAATCAAATAGACTATGTAATTGGAAGCAGAAGATGGAGAAGCTGTGTCCTCTCTGCCAAAACAAGACCAGGAGCAGATTGTGCTACTGATCATGAACTGTTAATATCCAACATTAGAGTACAGCTGAATAAGATGATGAAAAGAATTGTAGTGCCAAAATATAACTAAAACAATATTTCTGATGGATTTAAAGTTGACATAAGAATAGAGTTGAATAACTAAATCATTTTTTGTGAACCAGAAGAAGTATGGGTTGAAACCAGAGATATTAGTAGCATAGTTTATTATTAGGCATAAATGCATAAAGACAATTCCTGTAGTAAAAAGAAAATAATGATGGAAATACTTAAAAATTATCAAAGGCAAGAAGCAAAAGTGAAAGGTGATAGACATAGGGTCTGAACCCTGAATTCAGTTTTTAAGTGACTGTTGTGTAAGGACAAAGGGAACTACGACAGAAACCAGTGCAAACAAACAGGAGAACAACAAAAGAGAAAAACAAGAGATCTCTTCCTTAATATCCAAGAAATCAAAGAGAAATTTAAGTGTAAATTAGGAATGCTGAATGAGGACAGGATTCATAGGATCACCATGAATTCATAGGATCACCATAAGTCAGAGGTGACTTGACGGCACATAACAACAATAGCAAGAGATAAATCATATATGCATCGGCATCCTCAGTCACTGAAATAATTCAAATAATTAAGCATAAAGTCTTAAGAAGGTTACATTTTAGAAGTAGGCTTTATTTTTTCCCAATTTGAATTAGAGTTCGTATTGTACATGTAAATAAATTGTTTTATTTTAGGCTTGTCTTGACAGAAATCCAGAAGCTTTCCTGCCAAAGATTGGGAAAGGAAAACTGGGAGATATCAAACCCAGACACAACAAAGGATGTAACTGTAAGCGTTCAGGGTGCCTGAAGAATTACTGTGAATGCTTTGAGGTTTGTTAAGTTACATTTTCTTATTCAGCTTTGCAAAAAAAAAAAAAAAAAATTGTTAGAGGGATTTGAGATCCACTCAGTGTAATGAATATTATTCTCAAGGGAACTGCCATCAGTTCAGGGAAAGCTGGATAATTTGGCAGAGACATATAAGACTCCAACACAGTGGGAAAGTTGAACCTGTAAGCCCTGTTATACGTAGACAACCTTGTATTGTAGGAGAGTCATCTCGTTTCCTTTCTATTTTGTATTTGTCCATAATAAGATTGATCCTGTATCTTCCAGGCTAAAATTATGTGTTCATCTATCTGCAAATGTGTTGGTTGCAAAAATTATGAAGGCAGCCCAGATCGAAAAATACTAATCAATATGCCAAACCATATGGAAATTAAAAGTGACTCTGTGTCGTTTTCTGACCTGGAAATATTGGCAAACTCCAGAAAAGACAGGTAAATATTAAGGATTATACCTGTGTAATAGCCATATTTTTTTCTAAGACATGTATCTTGAAATAGCAGCATTTTAATGTGCATTCGTATTGATTTTATAAACACAACAGCCTTGTACATGGAACTTTTGAGGCTGGTTCTTTGCTCTTTTGTAACTCTGCTTGTTCTTATTTACATGCTCCAGCTTACTCAGAGTTATTCAACCAGAGCCTGATAACATTTTTCGCTACATTTTGTATATTGGTACAAAGCATATACTGTATTACAAAATGCAGATATTGACTCACCAGATCCTCACTGATTCAGTGGGTTTACTCCAGTTATGACTTGCTACTGAATTTCAACCATTATTTATTTGGTTGTTAAGTCGGTTTTACAACATAAGCTTTCTTCCAGAGCTCAGCCAGAAGTTCTTACTGATATATGAACACTGAATCCTGACCATGCACTCTAAATCCTGAACACTGAGTGGTCATAGGGATATCTTTGAGTCCAGGCTAGCAGTTTAATGTACAGAACTGACAAGATGGTAGCTCTACTTAAGTGATATCAAATCACTTGGTTCACAGAGAAGCCTTCACAAACTGCATTGTATGGAAGAAGCTGTTTCTTTAAAAATAGAATTTGTCTGTTAGTGAGAAGTGCATCAACAAGGAAAGAACTTTAGTCTGTTTTTAAGTGCTTTAGTCTGCTCCTCCTCCTGCTGTAGACAGTGCAGTTCAGAAAGAATACTTGCTATGTGAAGCCCATCCATTTATATGTAAAAATCATTTAAGGCTTGGCATTTTTAACACTTCATTTACAGCTGATGTGTCTAAGGAGCTGTCTCATTTCGGAATTAGACTTTTGGCTTTTAGTCTAGGTTCAAGCCTTCAACATAGCTGAAAAATCGTGGGACAAAGAGAGGATGTATTGCAGTGAAATGTTCAGTCCATCAGATTCCCACTACTTTCCTCCTGACCCTCCAGATTTTCCTGCTAGACTTCCAATTAAGAAAAATATCTGAGAGAAGGAGATTGCAGGGAAAAAGTTATAGATGGATGTAGCATTAAAACATTTGATCCTTGCTGTTTTGATACAAACTGCCCTCTGCCACTTAATATTTGTTCAAAGATTAATCTGGTTCCCAGGCACCTCTGTTACCTGGTATTATCTTTCCATCTGATGAACTGGGCTGCAATCCACAAGCACTTATGCAAAATAACTCTCCTAGTGATTTTTTTAAAATTTTATTTTATTTTATAAATCCATCCATACTGATTTAACATTGTGCCACCAGAGTACAGCTTATAATCATTTGTAAAACAACTACTACACACATTATGCTCCTAATCTATACAACATCCTTCTAACCATTGATAGAATAAGTCCCATGTTTGAAAATATATGCTTTTTGATTATTTTAACAAGCCATGTATGTATTTTGTTCCAATTTTTTTTTGCTTTATCACAAGTCCACCAGAGGTGATAATAGGTTCCAGTTTTTTATGACATTTCCAACATTTACATGACCTATTAGAGTACATCTTAGCCAATCTATCAGAAGGTAAATGGCATCTATAAAACATTTTATGTAGATTCTCTTTATAAGATGTTGCCATTGTCATCATATAGTTTCTAGACCACAGCTCTTGCCATTTTTCTAATATTGTACCCAAATTTTTTTGCCCATTGAACCATCATTTCTTTGACCTGTTTGTCCTCCATTTTCCAATTCAAAAGGAATTTATATACTTTCCTAATTAATTTATCATCTGATGTTAACATTATTTGGTCAAAAGTTATCTGTTCTTTATAAAAATTATACATTTTTAGGTCCCGTTCATATCTTGATTGTATTTGCATTATAGACCACCACGATGCATCTAACCCCTGGTCTATAAGATCTTGTTTTGGCTTTAATCTCCTATCTATGTCTAAGATATCTGTACAAGTCAAAATTTTTCTAACATTCAAAAGGTTGGGATGAACAAATGCTTCTATGGGTGAAACCCATCCTGGTATTTTCATGTATATTTTCATTTTTATTTTTTCCCATATTATATACAGGGAGTTTCTAATATAATGGTTTTGAAAATACCTATGAGTTTTGGCTTTCTGATACCATAAAAAGGCATGCCAACCCAACTGTAGATCATGTCCTTCTAAATACAGAAGTCTCTTGTTTTTCAGGCTAATCCATTCTTTCAGCCTTTTTATGTGCTGCTACCTGACCCCATTCAAGTGCCAAAACACAAAAGGCAAAATCTTGTTAATGGTTTATGTGTGTGGTGCTGACATTGTGCAATGTTTTCCCCCTCTGTTGCAGCCCTGTTCACATGATCAGTCACATGGCTGATCACACAACTGCTTTTAGGATCAGGGGTTCCCTACTTTCCTGGGAAAGGGCCTTCCTGAAAAGGAGAAATGCTTACGCAACTATCCTTAAGTAAGACTCAAATGAGGAGAAGAAGGAATCATTCACAGGGCAAGCTCATAACTAGATAACCAAGTGCAGTCTGAACTATTGAGTAGGAGTGAACATCTCTCTGTGTAATGACTGTGATAGAACAGTTTGCGTGTTCAGCTTACGAGTCAGACGTTTCGTTTAAATGCTGATGCAGTTCACTCATGAATCTCCTCACTCGATGCCTATATGAAAGCTGTGACCCACAGAGTTTTGAAAGGCTAAATCCATGCAACCCCAACCTCCTTGCAGAAAGAAGAATATATTATGAATATCTGAAGTATCTGGACCCATTCCAGTCGGGCTTCAGGCCGCGCTATGGTACAGAGACGGCACTGGTCGCACTGTTGGATGACCTGTTGACTATCTATCTATCTATCTATCTATCTATCTATCTATCTATCTGTCTGTCTGTCTGTCTGTCTGTCTGTCTGTCTGTCTGTCTGTCTGTCTATCTATCTATCTATCTATCTATCTATCTATCTAGTTTAGTTTTAGTTTTGATTTTTTTCCCTCCATTAGGCACTTTAGTACGTGTATATCATGGGAAGTTGTTGAGGCAACATGTGCTTGTCTCCTTGCACAAGCTGAAGAGGCAGAAAAAGAAGCTTTCTCTGTTTGCCTAGCAGAAGAAATGATCTTAGAAGAATTTGGAAGATGCTTAGCACAGATTTTGCATTCTGAATTTAAATCCAAAGGACTGAAAGTTGAATAATATGCCTCAGTTACAGATGTACAATGAACTGAAGTACTGCTTGAAATTGCTTTTAATCTTATTTCATTTCTTATTATCATGATTATTTTTCATTTCTACATTTTAGTTTATGCTATAACTAATAAGTATTTTTGTTGCAAATTAATGACAATCAAAAACATGTACACTTGATTATATGAATCATTCAGTTTCTAGGCCTTGTGTTACTATAGCTTTAAATTGATAAGAATAATATGGCTAGACTGTTTCAATTTAAACGTTCAGATAACTTGGTTGTAGATCTTCCAGTGCATTGCAGCTCCGTTATTCCAAATAAAATAACATCAAATGCAGGCCTAATATTTAAAAAGAATTGGAAATGTCTGAGTAGAAAAATTCTGTTTGAGCCAAATGCACTAATTCATATATCTAATAATTTAGCATAATTTTTGTTCAGAGTTCCATGCTAAATGTACCTCAAATGTTGCTGACCTTTATTTATTTTAATGTTGAGTTGTTAGGATTTTAGAACTGTTTTCTATTGATCATACTTTGATAATTTTCTTACAATGAAAACTGTGATATAAATATTAGCTAATGAACATTCTTTCTACAATTTTTTCTTCTGCTAAAAAGAAAAGGATGTAATAGATGAATAAGGAAAAATCGGGGTCATGACACTTCAGTAACAATTGATATGAATTCCACTTTTGAATAGTAAAACTTGCAATAAAATTGATGCTTAGTTAGCTTATATTTTTAAAAATTTCTGTTTTCTTTAAATTTTCTTTATTTTTTCTTTAAAATAGCAGCCTTTTGAGCAGCTACTTACACATTATCACATAAGAACAGTTCTAGCAAAACACATGCCACTTTACATGTGTGTGTGTGTGTGTGTGTGTAAAATGAAGGGGCTAAACTGTCCCTTGAAAAAAGCAAAATAAATAAATAAATAAACAAACAAACAAATAAACAAACAAACTGGTGCCATGGTGTAGCCGGCAATAATGATTCAAATAGGAAGAAATAAATAGGTACTGCTAAACGTTCTTGGGACATTTGTCCCGGGATATAGACCATGTGACTACAATTCAGTACAACACAGATTTGGAAAGTATAAGAACAAAAATAAATTCCCCTTATGTGACCAGGACCAGAGATGCATGTCCAGAATTTAAAGCCCCATCACATAGAGAAGTAAGACATTCTACTCCTCCAGTACTGCTTGCCTCAACACACATCTCCCTGTGGAGGAATCTAGAGAAACACAGCAATTCTGAGACTTTAGCCAGTACCATGGAACCTGTAAACCACCTCTGCCATGGTTAGTTATGTTAGCCACTGCTAGTTATCACTTCTGTAATGTAGTGTTATCATCTACAACAGATGTGTGACTGCTTAAAATATCAGCCAACATATAAAAGTTTTTCTTTTGAATATTTGTACAATGCTAGCATATATCTTAATTTAAGTGACACCACTGTAATGCAAATACTAGTGTTATAATAGGACAAATAGATGCAGATTATTCTTGAAAACCAAAGCTCCTCTGAAAGTGCCTCTTGAAATAATGCTTTTCATAAATCTTAATTATAATTCAGATTTTTGTTACCCCATATTATCCACTTCAGAGACAAATATGACTCACTGTTAAATTAGTACAATCAGTACGGATGTAAGAGCAACCCTCACACTGTCTCTTTGTGAACCATTTTTGTCAGAGTAATTACATTAGTAATAGCTGATTATACAGCAGTCTTATGTTCCTATGAAATTAAGGTAATTACTGCCGCTAGAAACACATCTGTCTATATTATAGTCTAATAAAACTAGTCAAAAGGCTTGCAATGTTTTCAAGGTCTTTAAAGCAAAAGAGCAGTATGGTGAAATTATACTATTTAGGAAAAGTTTTGCAAAGTCTGGAAAAGGGATAGATATGAAGCAGAAGGAAGAACACAGACTTATCTAGTTTAAATGTTTTATCTCCTTAAATGGAGAAAATTCATTGGAAATATTACTGTAATTTAATTTATCACACATTTAGGAGAATATATGTTCTGACTAAAGAAACATTGGGCTAGATTGAGAAATGTCCACAGAATCTGATTGATTGATTGATTGATTGATTGATTGATTGATTGATTGATTGATTGATTGATTGATTGATTGATTGATTGATTGATTGTGCTGGTGCCATTCCATCATACCTCTCAGCACATCTCTTCCGAAGAACTTGTTTCACTCCTTCCTCCCAGGCCTTGCTACTGAGGGTGGACACATCAAGAGAGGTCCACAGGGTATCAACATGGAATACTTTCTTTTTAGTGATGTCCACCACCCTGTAGAATAAACTTGAATTGGAGGTGTATCAGGCCCTGTCTCTCCACATTTTCAGAAAATTAGTAACTGCAGCAATCTTCAAGATGGTCTTCAACAATGCACTCCCAAAGGCAGAGACTTACTCAGAAAACAAAAAGCTTGTTGTTTATATGTGTACGTATCATCTCAGAAAGGCTTTTATGCTTTCAAAATACTGTAAACCTATACAAGAGTTATAATTACTGTCCTTCTATTTAGTGAAGTTCCATAAAGAGAGGAAGACAATTAATAAATACTTTATTATGTTTCTTGTAAGCTGTGAATGGAAATGAACATATACAGTAGCTGGCTGGATAGGTCTGTGGTTTAGGTATCTGACTAAGGAGCCACAGCTTGGGAGTTTGATTTCCCACTATGCCTCCTGTGGGTAGATTCAGCTTGTTTGGCCCTAGGCAAGCTGCACAGTCCCAGGAATCCCCCAGAAGAGGGGAATGGTAAGCCATTTCTATGTATTCTCTACCTTGAAATCCCTGGAAAGGGTTCCTGTAATTTAGAATTGACTTGGCAGCACACAATGCATACATAAGACCTCACTGAAGTGAAAAAGAGTGAAATTGCAAGGATGTGCAAATATTTTGACCAATCAATTTTACTCCTATTATCTTACATCTTAAGATTTTTACAAGGCAAAGTGGGTATATTTCCCTTGTAAATGAAAGCAGGCTGTTCTGACCCCAATAATGTCACTCCAAAGCAACAATTCTTAACAATATATTACATTAATAATATACTATAATACTCTGGATTTTTATGAAAGATTCCATCAAATAATTGGAAAGTGCTTCCGTGAGGTTATTTGGCTTCAGCAGCAACACGCTCAGCATTTGCTGATGTGGGGAGTATTTTTATTGTTTAGTAGTTAAATCGTGTCCGACTCTTCGTGACCCCATGGACCACAGAATGTCAGGCCCTCCTGTCTTCCACTGCCTCCTGGAGTTTGGTCAAATTCATGTTGGTCACTTCAATCACACTGTCTATCTGTCCATCCCCCAGTACGTGGGGAGTATTAGTGGCCATTAATTTTCGTTATGATAATGGCATACAACATTCAAGCAGCAATTCTGGTAATTATTTGACATGTTTTTACAAAGCTGAGTACACAGCTGTTGATTGCAACATTAAGCACCTAATTTTAGCTGTGGAAGGCATTATCAGTTAGATAGATATAAACACTAAGCAAAATTCTACTCCCTACATAAATATTTGACATTTATGTGACCTGCACACTGTACTACAAAATGGTTTTGAGCCTTTAATAATGTGCAGGTACTTTTTCAAGGAAGGATTTTTTTCATTTTATAATGTAAAATATTGTGGATATGGCACATATACTGGGACTAAAATATGACATGTTTTCAAAGGCAAAAATTATATTTAAGTCATAATGATTCTTTCCTTCTAAAAATCTGGCACAAGTGTAGCAACAAAATGGCAGACATGGTTCAATATAAGTATATATAAAGTAATATACACTGGATGAAAAAATTCTTAATTTCACATATATGCTGATTGGGGGTGGTATCTATGAATGGGTAGTTAATAGACAGGAAAAAGAGCTTCAGCTTGTATTGGTGAGAAAGTCAATAAATACTGTATGTCAGGAAAAAAGAATACTATGTGAGTTCTTGTATGCAATCAGAAAAAGAGGATGGGAGGTACTTTTATTAGACCACACAAATCTCACAAATAGACAAGCTTTCATAGTCCTGCAGGACTCTATCAGGCTGGGAATTCCAGAACAGCTAACTGAATCGTCAAACCTGTTATCACAAGGTTGCTTGCTTGCTTTGTATCAGAGCATTGCACAGTTCTAAATCATGGACACACATGAAATATAGGCAAAATCAAAAGCCTATTAAAATGTCAAGACAATCAGACTATTTTTGACCAGAAGTGGCCAGAGGTTGAGATGTGTGCAGAAACCTTTCCTTGACTTCAGCTGTCATCCAGGGGGTCACTGTTCATGAAGTAGGTGTGTTTGCTGCTGTTCGAGTGCAATGCCTCTGGGAGTGAATGACTTGCAATGACATCATTGTCCAGGGGATGCCTGAATATACTTGCAATGCCTTTCCCACTCTTCAGTGAAGCTCCTTCTATGCCCACCACCTCAAGCAAATCCATTTTGGAACTTTTAAACAACAGAGCCTCGCCTGAACCTCTGGCCATTATGTTTATATTTAAGATTTTTCTCTTTCTTCTGGACCTCTGCTACTGAGGAATATTTGACAAAGGAGAGGAGGCAGGAGGCAAAAGCCCTGACCAGAGATGTGTGGTGGTGGATTATGCTTGTGAGGAGAAAATGGGATTTTTGAGATAAAACTTTCCATCCCTGCTTGGTTTACATACTATTCTTACAAGTGTTTTGTACAAAGAAGAAATGTGTTCCCCAGAAAGAGGAAGCCTGAGCCTTGTCTTTCATTTGCATGGGTAATGACAGGAGATAGAATGAGGCCTATGATCCCAAGCTAATTAATAATAATAATAATAATAATAATAATAATAATAATAATAATAATAATACAACCTTTATTGTCAATGCACAATATGTGTGCAGTGAAATTGAATACACCTCGATTGGTACAACCACACAAAGCACAAAAAATGCAGAATACATTCAGACACAGAATACATCTCCAGCCTTATAAACAAATCCCCATCCCCAGGAATACCAGGGCTAGGCATACATTTCCACCAGTATGTATATATTGCATGTTGCACTGGCACTGTAAGTCTGTTTTATTAAGTCTAGTCATGGTGTTATGTGACATTTAGAAATCTATGCCCTATCCACACCATCTGGCAGATTAAGAGACAAGATACAGTAGGTTGACTCTTTTCCATTCCAAAGCTAAACTATACACTACATTCCACCTTTCATTGAAGCCAAAAAGCCATTTAATAGTTCCACGGATATGATTCAGGCAGAAGTTCATTGTGGCACAATCATGCTTCCAGATGAAGCCTGTGCTTATATCTCAATGACCAGCCACAAAAACCAAGCCAGCTCATTTGGCAGCTATCAAAGCTGTGAAAAGCTGCTGTGAAAATCAACCTGTTCTCAGTGCTTAAGGAGTTATTTTCCTAATGATGGGCTATCTGTATAGCTTGTCCGTGAAATATACAAGGGGAGGAGAAACCCTTGGGCCCAAAAACTGTGCTTTATGTCCCTCTGCAAAGAGAAGGAAAAGGAAAAGCCCATCAGGTATTCCAAATGCATTCTTCTTTCTTGGTGCTTTTGTGTGGTCTGATGCCATCAAGTCCAACAAGACCCATAATGAACACTGTGCGTTTTGTGACGTTCTCATTTTTCATGTTCACATTTATTAGGGTAAAGCAGTTTTTCTGATTAAATAGACTGATTTGTTATAATCAATATTGCATAAAGCATTTCACAGGAGCACAAATGGAAAAAGGCAACAATGAAATACTTTTAAAATTATATATAGCATTTGAAAAATTTGAAGAGCAAATCATATAAATTGTTAGTCCACATGTTCAATGTCCATATTTTTAGCTGTTAATCTTCTTATGGAGTTCAAGAATTTCAGTGGTGCTGAGTTTCTATAACCTGTATCAGAAAAGATACATATCTATGATAATGAAGTCAGTTAGTATTCATATTCTAGTACACATTATTTAAATCATAAACTTTAAAATTCAATTTTTAAACTGCCCATCTGCCAGTGGTCACTCTGGGTGGTTCATAACATTTCATATTAAAACACTACTCGAATAATTTAAAGAATAATACAGTGGTACCTCAATTTACGAACTTAATCCGTATTGGAATTAAGTTCGTATGTTGAAAAGTTCATAAGTCGAGTCAGACTTTCCTATTGGAATGCACTGAAAACCATTTAATCTGTATCTGCTGTTTTCCGTTCGTATGTTGAGGCGCTGTTCATAGGTAGAGGCATTAGTTCCCATAGGAACTAATGCAAAGCCAGTTAATCCGTATCTACCACTAGGGGGTGAATTTTTTAAATTTTTTTCTTCTTTTGACCTAAGGTGAACTTATGTAAAAAAAGGGGGGGCAGGAAAGGTTTTTTCTCTCTTTTTTTGGTTCGTAAGTCGAGACTCTGTTTGCAGGTCAAAGCAAATTTTTGTGAATGGAGCCATTAGTAACTCGAATCGTTTGCAAGTAGGGATGCTCACAAGTTGAGGTACCACTATATAGCAGAGGGGAGGAAACTGGGGCCAGCATACAGTCCTAGACCTGTATTTTGCAGCTACTTATTGCCCTTATTATAGGTGAAAACAAAATAAAAAGTAAAACTAGACAAAAATGTGGTGGCACTTTAAACATAACTTTTATATTCTTTAATGTGAGCTTTCGTGGACAAGTCCACTTTATCAGACATAAGGCATAAGTCATCAGACCTGCATATCAAAGACATTATCATCACAATGTTTAACACCCACTGACTTTCTTACCAACCAGCCACAACCTTGATGCCATGTATAAACATTTGCCATGTCATATATCTTTCTCTTATATCTGATGAAGTGGATTTGTCCACAAGAGCTCACATTAAAGAATATAAAAGTTTGTCTTTAAGGTGCCTCCATGTTTTTGCCTTTTCTCTTTATTTTTATTTCATTTTCACCTGTAATGCTTGCACATGCTAACACAGTTAGCCTTCTACAATTATTGCCCTCAATGCTCTTTGGAATACTTTTTTAAAAAAATTGCTAGCAATTTGGGTGGCAATCTGCAAAATGAGCTGCTTACTTCAATTAAAAAATACTTGCAGAAAGAAGAAACTCTTAATTACCTTAATTACAAGCTTCTTCCCCAGATTTCTCTTCCTTTATAATCCATCAACCACTCTCTCCCTTCACTGTTTAAATGGCCATTGCAAACATTTGTTATTTAAACAAATCCTCTACTTTCTCTTTCTAACCCCCCCCCCTTTTAAAATACATTGTTCCCAAAGCTGATTTTAATTTATTCTTGGACAGATTTAATATAATTTTTAATTAAATCTCAGTTGGGGGGAATGGTGAAGTCATCTGTAATGAACGCAGATTAATATTTTAAAACAGTAGTTACTTCAGTCTCAGTGCATTTGTGAGATTTGTTTATTTTTATACTAAGAAATTTTATATTTTAATTCTGCCAAGTTCCCTTAGACCTGGCTTTAAGTGTGTTGGCCCTCCAAAAAATCAATCCCAACTCGGTAAAGATGGACAAGACTAGATATTTAATTCATTCTAAGGCTGGCAGTAGTTTCCTACATCCCTTGTTCCTAAACTCAGTTCTAGATTTCGAATTTTAAAAGTTAAATTTTAGATTGAACTGTATACTAAAACAGTCAAGAAACTGTACTTTCCCCATAAATAATGTGCTAGTTCTTTTTAAAAAACAAGCAAAGGGCAATTTCACAGATATGATGCATAAATGCTACTAATGCATGTAATCACAAATAAATACTTTTCAGAACTGCATTTGGATCATCCAAGTCAATCTTGTAACTTTGTTCCTCTTTATCAGAAGAAGCGTATCTTCGGCCATCTGTGGGAAGAGGGAGAAAGTAAAATTACTTTACAATGGTCAAATTATATAGCTAATTCATTTTTCTGCTTGGGATTCTAAGTAATTGAGTTCACACACACTGACCAAAATCCTGTTGTGTAATTATGCTGGCAGAACGGGAATGACATAATTTTTCTACTGCAGTTTGCCTTTGAATAATGAGTTCCTACTTGTGTTCTGCACTGTGTGCAGCTCAGAAGGCTTTGCTTACTACCAGGAATCTGATAGGGTTTGTAACCCCAACAGAATCCAAGTGGGCCCATTAATTTAGCAGCAGTTTGACTCAGTAATTGTTCAGTATTGTTGAATAGTCAGTAAGTATTGACTCCAATACCCTTTCGCCGGTGTTAGCTATGCAACAGGACTTGAGCCAGGCCATTATTTTTAAAGCACTGTAATCTACCTATTAAGGGACGCTGTGGTGCTGCAGGCTAAACCGCAGAAGCCTGTGCTGCAGGGTCAGAAGACCAGCAGTTGTAAGATCGAATCCACACAACGGAGTGAGTGCCTGTCGCTTCTCCCAGCTCCTGCCAACCTAGCGTGCAAATGCAAGTAGATAAATAGGGACCACTTTGGTGGGAAGGTAACAGTGTTCCGTGTCTAAGTCGCACTGGCCATGTGACCACGGAAGATTGTCTTCGGACAAAACACTGGCTCTATGGCTTGGAAACGGGGATGAGCACCGCCCCCTAGAGTCGAACACGACTGGACAAAAATTGTCAAGAGGAACTTTTACCTTTACCTAATCTACCTATTGTGTGAAAAAAACCTGTTGTTGTGAATGCTACCTGATCTTGTGAAAAAATTATTTCTTGTTCAACAGAAATCTGTAATTTGCTCCTCTCTGGACTATTACAAAGTATGAAAGAATATCTGAAAAATTTGTGAAGAGAGTATCACTATTTGAAAAGCTTTGATTTGGAATACTTCATTTCAAGGATTCAGTTTAAATGCCTTTTCCACATTAGGGCAACTCTGTCTTTCAAACTTGTGAATGCATTTTTTTAAAAAAACCTAAAAATTGTACTCTTCTACACTGTTACTGAAAATAGAAGTTCCCCTATACTGAAAGTCTGGTGACTTTTTAAAGATAGTGTGCATATTCTTTGAGATAGCTAAGCAGTTCAAAATCAGTTCTCAGGCTGCTCACACTTTCTTGATTAAAAGGAAGCAAACATTCATTTTTCATATCTGCGTGGAGAACCCTTTTATTGTTGCTTCTACAAATTTACTGAGGAAGGTATTTAAGGATTTCTGACTGAAAACAATTATTCATTTTTATTGTGATAATAAGCCATTTATATTTATTAAACACTTTGAACTGACATGAAAGTGTGTGTGTGTGTGGGGGGGAATCAGGTGAATGGCCTAATGGCTATGTATTTCATCCAAACTTTTTGTAGAAAGGATGCTTTCATGCCAGAGATACCTGTATTATGTACAACTGCCATATTTTTACCATTTCTTTATACTAATATATTAGGACTTTACAAGAGCAATTGTTTTTTTTAAGGACAAATCTGTTTTGTAAAATTAATTAACAGATTTTTTTTAAAAAAACTAATGTAATATATCTTAACCAATTTTTATCTAAACAATAATTGTTTACTAGGATATTTTAGAAAATGAGAAATAAAGACTACTTACATCGTCCTTTGAGGTATAGCATTGATTGAGGGCCCCAGTTCCTTGCTATGAACTTACTCTGAAAAAGAGAAAATAAACTCTATTCACTGGAGGGGGAAATTTTGCTGAGGTATTTCTCTAAATTCTAATTTTTACCTTTGGAGTACGAGTTGATTCAACTGCAGATAAGACCATCATGATGGTAAAAGCACAGGTTACTGCAGTTATAACTTTCTGCAAGAGAAACAATATACACACTTATCTTTCATTATTCTGATACAATTCTAAACAAATATTTCGAGTCATACATCAGGCACACACAAGAAGCTCCTTACCATGTTAGCAGATCTTTTGTCACTTGCTTCTATCACCCAAACGTTATAGAATGTCTGGTTTGGCACTCGTACTTTTAAATAGTCGATGATGATAAAATACGTAAGTTGAGCTGATCATTGTGTTTTGGTTTGGATTGTTCCCTGATCCCCCCTCCCCAAGATGTTGTTTTGCAGGCAAGAGTTTATGCTGCATTTGATAAGTAGAAAGGAAATATATAGTATTCTACCCTCCTCAGTGCTCAAAGCAGCAAAATTAGTGTCAGAGACTCTGTAATAAAAGGGTAGTTAATGATAGTTGTTCCCCATGAGACCTGGAAACAATCTGTAGCCACAGGGAAAAAAACACCGGAGGAAGAAGACAAAAGGTGACTAAATGTCAAACATTTGTACTTGGTGCTTCAGATTTTACCTGTTGCTCCCATTAATTTTTTTCAGTAAGAATAGTGGGCAGTAAGACAACTGAACAAAAAGTTGTGTTCTTATCAATGTGCTTGTTGTTGGGGAAATTTTCAGCAACAGCAGCTTATTGTTTACGTCACCAGCCTAGGAACATGCACATTTTATTGCATTATACTTTTCTTTTATAAGGGGCTTTCCCAACTCAAAGCCTCTTGGCTCCTAGACCATTGCCTTGCTAAGTGCTCAGAATGATCTGCTGCAGTAAGACATTGGGGAAATATCATTCCATTAGACCAGCCTTCCAAACCTGCTGCCTGACCAACGTAATGGATGGCCCATGCTGCCTGGGGATGGGAGGAGCTGCAGTCTGAACATATTTGGGATATGTGCCTGGTGTGAGAAGGCTATACTGTATTAGATTAATCCAATGGTATGCATACTTCTTTGGAGAAAAATCCCAGCTGCTGATTACATTCTGCTAATACTCTACTTGCCTTTGGTAGAAAACCTGTTGTGAACTGCCCAGAGTGGCCTTCACTTTGTTTCTGCATTACAGGAAGAGTTCCTGGAGCTCCTCTGCATCCTTTCTCAGATTCCTAGCCAGTGGGTCTAAAATCTAAATATTTAGTTACTTAGTTACACTTTCCAGTCCCCATTTCTTTCTAAGTTAATATTATCAAACATCCCTTGACCCCTAGTATTATCATGACAATCAGGTTCTTAAAGGGCAGACATACAGAACAAAAGCCAACATTATGAATTATGACAAAGATCTCCTATAGTGTATTTGTGGCATCTTACTCTCTGTGCCTTTTCAGTTTGTACTAGTTCTTTGTTTAATAACCTAGTCATATCAAAAAGCATATGTTTAATAATCTATGCGTACTTATATTCACACCCATTCTTCAATTATATTGTGTCTGTAAGCTATTACTTCTGTAAGGCAGAAGGTTTGAACACACTAAAAGTTGGTTTCTATTGAATTTTTTCTTCCTTTGGTGATAGGCTGACACATAATAATATTTCTTTATTACCTCATAAGGTCAATTATGAGGCATGGGAGGGGTGTGCTCGCGGGTGGATGAGGCACCCATGCATGCATGCGGGTGGGCCTGCATGCAGGTGAGGTGGAGAGGAGTGCATGCGTGGGGGAGAGATCTGTCTTTGTGGCCCGGTCCTGCCATGGCCACAGACTGGCACTGGGCTGTGGACCAGGGGTTGGGGACCCCTGCTCTAAACAACCTGGGACCTGCTTAACAGAGAGATCATCTTCTCCCTTATAGACCCACCCAGTTCTTGAGGTCACCCAGAGAGGCTCTCCTAGTGTTTTTACACATTTCTAAAGTCTGTTCTGCCGGTTGTATGGTGGCACCTAGTATGTGAAATGTTGTTCCTTCATAAAGTCAACATGGAGTTCCAGCTGCATGTTGAAAACTAACCTTGGAAGCAAGATCAGGCCATTTTCTTCCCAGTACTAATTTCAGGAACCAGAATTGTTCCAACAGCTTTAACTACAGATCTAAAACAATTGCCAATAGCTGCTAATTTTCTTCCCAAAGTTCAAATCCAGTGATTTTGCAAACATACCACATCAGATGCAGATTTTTGAGCCTTGACTCCTCATTTTTAGCTTGACCCTTGGGTCTGCCCCTTGTACAGTATAAATAATGCTGAGAAACAAAAAGTGTGTTTATTATAACAAAAACAGCAACAGTTTGGCTTTAGATATGACAAAGGGGACACCACACCATTTTGGGACTGAAGGATGGTGGCTGAAGGGGTGGAGATCAGTAAAACAAACATCACTCTAGGCAGTGGCAACTGGCCCGCTTGGGTAAATGGAATAACATCTCTTTTTACGCTCAAGTTATATGGTGCCAGCCTTCTCCTCAATGGCTTCTTACTATGGGTAGAGGGTCAGGGTGCCCTTGCTGAACTCTCCCATTCCTTTGTCAGATGGAAGTAAGAAAACAGGGAGAAGGCAGGAAGAGAAATGGGACACAGGGATTTTTCTTTTCTTCAGCTTAGTCATCACATACTGTATATGAATGAAATGGGGTGAGGATGTGGCTGAATGAAAATGCACCTGCCTCGGTCCACATGAAGGTACATGTACTACTTGCCTGTCTGCATCAATGTCCCCTGTTGCCCTGGCCCTGCCCGTCTGGTCTGGCACATCCAGCATTGGCAGCTCTAGTTCTGCCCCACCAGCCACCATGGGCATCGGCTGTGAGGACCTCTTACTGTTAAAGGAGCATTTCAGTGGGTTATATGTACCTGCAAGTGACATGACTTCAGAAATCTGTAATAAGCAGGGCCACATTGCTTTTATCTTAATGACCAGCAGCTATCCAAGCTTATCACAATAGGAAATAAGGAGATACTAGAAAACTAATCTGGGTTTCTAGTGCTCTTTTTTTAATGCATCAAGCTGAAATTTCAGAACCTAATGCTTGGTTACTGTTTAACAGATGGGTCTCTCCAGTACCACAGGTAATAAAAAAGAGATTTTCTAATGGCTTTTAAAATTTCAGCTGTTAAATTAAGAGTCAAAACGATGCAAGTGCCATGAGAAGCAGATGTCTCTGTGTCTTAAACGGAGACACCCATCATGCTGAGACAGAAACAGCTGTGAAATGACTTGCAGAAATTGAATGCGAAAGGGCTTGACGCTGGCCCAGTGGATTCCTCACCAGCAAGTCCTTTCCTTGCTTAAGGTTTTCTCCTGAGCAACACAACTCGGGATTGTGGGGGAGGGGGGGAAGAGAAGGACTTTACCAAGCTTACTGGGAAGGTGAAGTAAATATAAATGGACAAACAGGCAGACAAATACGCCATCTTAGAGATCCTGCCTTTTTATCAGTAGGTTTCTCCTGCCTTCTTCTGCCTTTCCCCCCTTCTGCCACTGAGGAGCTTCTATTTTTTCAAGCCAGGAGGATTCCAACGGCCTTTTCTCCATGTCATTAGCTGTCAGTGTGTCTTGACAGCACTTCAAGCCATTGTTTCTGGCAGTGTGATTGTTTGAGCCAATATCTCCACCTCAGAATTGATTCAGCTGCTACTCAGAAATAAAACCTATTACCATCAGTAATGCTTGCTCCCAGGTAAGCACACTGCTCCCAATCACTTACCCACAACTTGGCAGATGTTTGCCTGCCTTTCCCCATAACTATCCTTGTAGAAACAGAAGGAAAAACACAGAATGAAAAAGGAAGACCAAGTCTTCCTTCCCAAGGAGGAAGTTGGGATTTCTCTTTGTTTAAAACCTTATTAAGAAGTGGTTTGGTCCCTGTAGCCTACATAAACGTTACCTTAACCAGGTGTTTTGCCAATTTCTTCCTCTCCCTGTGTGGCCACTTAACTTGAGCTGTGAGGCCAAATGCCATGGGATTTGCTCTGCTTATAAAACAGGTGAATTAAAATTATTTTTGACTTAACGAGTGATGCAAAAGCTGATTCAAATCGGTCCAGCCCTTTTTGCTCCCAAAGATGCTTTTTCTCTCTCTGCTGCTGGAGGGCTTGTTCTCTCCCCCCCCCCATAAGCTGAAACAATTAAAACATGCTTTTTCCAGGGCTTAGTTGTGAAACCTTCTTGTAAAGGCAGCAGGGGAGGGTGCATGTCTGTAAGTGATGTTTTGTGATGTAGGCAGTTGGGATGTGAGGTTCAAGACTAGGGGGTGGGGGTGGAAACCACATTTTCTCCTGTCCCGAATTAGTCCTCTACTGTATATTTTTTCTTTTTTTAAAAAAAAAATCCCTACATATATTGGATTAGCACAAGATCAACCTATCACCTTATTGCTGGGTCCTCATTATTATTTCATGTATTTGCATCCTATAACAGGATCAGCAGAAGTGGGGGCAGAGGAAGAAAGGAAAGAAGGCGCACTGTGGGCTGGAATGTGAATTGCATCACATCTAGTATTAAGCGTGAACTCCCAAATCAATCCACAGCCCCAGTGTGATCACTGACTGCAGTTTCAAAACTAATGTAAGCTGTGAGTGAAATCACACTGGGATTGGTTCCAAGCCTGTGGTGGATACTGGAAACTGCAGATCATAGTAAATGCTATATATATAGCATTATAAAAAATTTTAAAACCCAGAAAAAAATTATTTTCACATGCATTACCAGAACAGGCCATTGGAGGGAGCCAGAGACCATGCTATGTCTTATTCACTAAAAAGAATTCATAGCATGATCTCTAGCTCCCTCTTAGTGCCCAGTTCTGGTAATGCATGTGAAAATAGTTTTTTTCTGGATTTTTTCTTTTAACGTTTTCAATATTTTCAGACCATGTATAAGTGAGATCTTGGATACTGATCCTGCAAATATGGGGTTCCTACTGTAAAATGAGTCAGAGGAAAAGAGATACACCCTTTGGAATTCATTATGTGAACAGGAAACTCAGCATGGTTTTTAACACAGGTCAAATCCCATTTTTGTTATTTATTTATTTTATCTATTCAACTTGTATGCCGCCTGCACTCTGCAACAGTCTCCCTGAAGCTTCCAACATCAATTTAAACAATTCTATTAAAAGAAACACACTAAAAGCCAATACAGTTAAAACAAAAACAAAAACAATCTACAAAAACAATCTAGATCCATGACTATCAATTAAAATTAAAATTAAAACCAATTAAAAAAATTCCAGAAAAGGAAGGTTTTAATCAGGTGCTGAAATGTCAGTAACATCGGTGCCAGTCAGATGTCATTTGGAAGGGCATTCCAAAGACCGGGGCAGCTACCAAAAAGGCCCTCTGCCTACAGGCCTTCTCTCTCATCTCACTGACGGGCAGCTCTTTCAGGAAGGCCTTCCAGCTAGATCTCAGTTACTGGGTAGGTTCGTATGGAAGGAGGTGGTCCTTCAGGTATCCAGGGCCCAAGCTGTTTAGAGCTTCATATGTCAAACCAAGCACTTTGAATTGGGCCCAGGCAGCAACTGGTAGCCAGTGTAACCTGGCCAGAATCGGTTGAATATGGTCTCTCAAGGCTCCTCCACTCACCAGTCGTGCAGCTCGATTCTGAACCAGCTGTAGTTATGTGACCAGACTCTTAGTTAGAATCTATCAAGCCACGTGTCTCCTTCCAGCTTTGTTTACATGACAAGGAATTCTGGGGGCCAAAGGCTTCCTCACTGTTTTGGGTTATAGCGGTGCCTCAACTTATGAACGTCCCGACATACAACCATTTCGAGTTACAACCAGGTCCAGCTGCAAAATTTTGCTTCTACTTGTGGCTGGAGCTTCGAGTTACAACCAGAAAAAGGCAAGGAATTCAAATTGCTAACCATTGGTGGTGGAGAGGCTGCTTCTTTTTAGCTCTTTCGCTACAGCGAAGATACTTCGGACTGCCTGATAAGGTAAGGTGCTGATTTCTGCTTTTTAAAAACTATTCTGGGTGGGTTTTGCAGCGTGTTTTTGGGCTGGGGGGGTTATGTTTCTGTGCTGTGATGGGTCTGCAGTGTTTGTTTATTTTTTTGGGTTTTCCCCTCATTTCCGATGGGTCTTGCAGGGTTAGCTTGCTTTTTGGTTTTACTTTTCCCCATTTCCGATGGGTCTTGCGGGGTTTGTTTGCTTTTTGAGTTTTTCTCCCTGATTTCCGATGGGTCTTGCTGGGTTTGCTTTTTGCTTAGATTTTTTTGCATTTCCGATGGGTCTTGCATGGTTTGTTTGCTTTCTGTTTTGCTTTTCCCCCATTTCCAATGGGTCTTGCGGGGTATGTTTGCTTTCTGCTTTGCTTTTTTTTTCATTTCCGATGGGTCTTGCACGGTATGCTTTCTGCTTTGCTTTTTCCCCATTGCCAATGGGTTTTGCACGGTTTGTTTGCTTTCTGCTTCGTTTCATTTGCATTTCTGAAGGATCTTGCATGGTTTGTTTGCTGTCTGCTTTGCTTTGTTTGCATTTCCAATGGGTCTTACACAGTTTGTTTGCTTTCTGCTTTGGTTTTTTTTTTTTTTTTTTGTTTTTCCGAGGGG